CCTCAAAGACGCACATTGGGTGTCCGAGAATAAAGTAACCAAAAAACTGGTTGCATACACTGATGGTGCTGGCAAAAACTGTCTCTCCAAGATCAGCAATTGCAAGATTGACCAAGATCCAGTTCAGAGGGTGACGGAGTTTCTTGAACTTTGCGGTGGCCACCAAGACAAGACCGTTGGTGAAGACTGATAAGACGACCACGATACACATCCAGAGTGTTGAAAGGTTGTAAATCCATCGTGGAGCAATGTGGTAATTGGGCCCCTCAAAAGGATCTGTAGAAAACAAAAGAAAACACTCTCATAATGAGTCTCACAATTTGGAATCTCATGTGGTCTCACAAGTCCACATTGTCTTATTTTGTAAGGTCTTGGAAGCAATACAGTGCACTACTTTCTCATAGTTAAACAAAATCATTTTGTAATTTGGTATACAATATTGTATATACCGTACACTACACAAACTTTGTTAACTTTGTTAAACATGCTCTCTCATTTTGTGCTGGGCTGGTAGCTGGCAATCTGTTTTACAAAGCAGCCTTTTTTTGGTTTTATCATTTCAGATAGTAGCTTTAACAAAGCTCTCAAGTCAATTTTTTAAAAGTAGCTGACATTCTTATATATCATCTCATATAATAAATATTTCCATCATATTATTCATTCATCCTGGGCAAAAAAATAAATAAAATGATGATACTGTACCTCTGGTATTATTGGTGTTTGTGTAGGCAAAAGCAGATCCCCTGGTGGTATCTTCATTGTACCGCCTGGCAGCAAATACTTGTTTTCCCCACTCTTCTGCCATTCTGATCTTAGAAGGAGGTCTCTGCAGTCAGACTTCTTGTCACTTGCAGCCTCCTTGGGTGACTGCTGCTACACATCTGACTTAAGCCTTTTATACTGAAGCTTCAGAGACATCGAATGGGATTAGGTGACAATCAAATTACAGCCTGGGTGTGCTTCTTGGCAGCAAAAGTCATGAGCAAATGTATTTTAACCTGTAATTAAAACTAACAGCTTATTAGGTTAAGTCACAAAATGCGCAATAATCTTGTTTGAAAGCGGATGTCCCTCCACTCCGGGATTAGCAGCGAGACCTTTCACTAATGGGTCAATGTAAATTTTGAGCCATCATTTGCCTTCATTGATTCCTACAGTATGCCCAGAGTAAATAGTTTCGTATTTTTCGCTTTTACTTAGTTTTAGTTAATTTTCAGAGTGGGATTTCATGTTTCAGTTATTTTTTAAATAAGTTAGTTTGAATGTAGTTTTTATTAGTTTCAGTATTAGTTGTTTTATTACAATGTGGGGGTATTTGTCAGTGGCAAGATTTAGGAAGTTTAGAATAGGTAGGCCTATTAAGATACAAACAATACAACACTTTGTGAAGACAATTGACTCAGAACCATGTAGACATCTACTCTCATTCAACATATGCATCAATGCCTCTTACAACTCTATAGTTGTATGAAATGTAGAAATGAGTATGCTATAAAGCAACACTGAATATGTGTATCAGATGATTAAAATTCAAAGCTTATGTTTATTTTCTTATATTTTTGGATGCAGAGGAATATTTCTTTATTTGGACTCTCGTGGTCAGGAATTGCATCCAAATATAAAACAACCACAGCAAACTGTGCTTATCAACTTAATTCATATTGTGTATGATGTTGTGGTCCTGATAAGTATATATGTGGAGCTTGGTGGGCATGAAAGGACAGCCAAGTCTTAAGGCAGCTTGATTGGACAAGTGTTGATCCACAGAACTAAAATAGCCACAGTCACAGTTGTTGACATGTGGAGGAAGTAAGACACTTGTAATCCTTCCGTAATGAATAGTTCACTTCAGAACATCGGATTTTTCAACATGCCCTTGATCCTACAATTTACGTCATAGTACTAAGTGCAAGGGCAATGTGGAAGACAAATGCACAATGAGATCAATGAAGTGTGGTGTTGATATTATGAAAAGATAAAAGAATCCAAAAAGATATTTTTACTTTATGTGGCTCAAATGCAGCTAAGCTGGACAAAGCCATCCAAGGTTGCTCACTTGTGGGGCTATAAGGATGACCATGTGAGATGCTGGAGTGGAGCCAAAGAAGTTCTGCAAGAGTCTTATTGATGTTTATTAATTGCTATATTAATTGATATTTATTAATTTAACCCAAAGCACATTCTTGATTTGGCAAAGTCATTAACCTGATAATCAAAGTTTTAACATTAAGTTGGAAGGCATTTTACCAACTGTGTGACATTTTATTACGGATATCTGTATTTTTAATTTCACATGTGCACAGATTTTTGGCAATGTGAAGCTAGTTGACAGGTGTGTCTGTCCCAAGCTCTTCAGTTCTAAGTATTCCCAACAGGATAAGTGACCTAAGATGAAGATAAGAGCACCCAGTGATTGAGGAATGTGGTGTCCTCTTGCATACTTAATTACTTTCTTTCTGGCTTCTTAATTGGCTCAGGCAGTCTTTTGGACAATGGCATAGTTGCATGTTTATTCAACTAATTAATTCTTATAATTATAATTTAAAATGGCCATTTCAATTATGCATTACGGTAACATTTTATCTCCATATGTGAAGTAGACACCAACCAGCTGGCATACTAATTATCTAATTTGCTTACATGGTCCTAGTGAATTACGAAAAGAATTGGATTTGAGGGGATTTTGTCTTAAACACTTTTCAGAATGAAACTGCTGCCTGAAGTCCCCTTGGAAACATTTCAGAAACAAGGCTTCCCTTATAAAAATTAATCATTTTGCAGTCATAGTCATCTAGTGATGGATCTTATATAATATATGGTTCAAATGGTTGGATGACACAACATAGAACTGAGTTTGTTTTAAGCATATTGAGGCCTTAAATCCTCTGCCTCACCTTCATATTATTTCAACTAACAGGTTAACTAAACCATACTAACCTAAAATAACAAATATATGATCCCAGAGTATAGTAATGTATGTGCTAATCACACAAATACACACAAAACAGAAAGGACAATCTACCATAATTTAAATGATGATTTCTAGATTGATTGAATGATTGATTGATTAAGTGGTCCAGTGGTAGTATCAGTGAATGTTTATTTCTTAAGAAAAACAATATCTATTTAAAACAATATTGTATTTGGAACACGGGGACATTCAAAGTCAGTGACTAAATTTAAAAGAGCACATAGCAAGAACAGCAATAACATTTACACCTTACTGTCTGCAGTCATTAGCATGAATACCACATCACACAGTAGGAAAGAGTAAATTGCACACACATGCAAACATTCATCTTTCATCTTTCACATGTATGTGAATGCACGCACACACACACACACACACACACACACACAAACACACTTCTGTTGCCTCTATTTAGAGTGCAAACTTAACATGAAAACTGTAATGCCATTAATGGCGGTTTGTTAACTCCTGTATTATTGACTTTAGATGATAAGAGCACCCAGTGATTAAGGAATTTGTTGTCCTCTTGCATATTTAATTACTGTCTTTATTGGCTGCTGAGTTCTTCATCTGCTCAGCCAGTCTATCGGACACTTAGTTGCTGTCTACTACAATTTAAAGGCCATTTCAATTAAGCATTAAGTTAAAGATTTATTGCCATTTATTTGCCAACATACTAATGATCTGATCAGCTTAGGTGTGTAATGTTCAGAGAGTAGGATTTCTTTTGTCTCTGTTCACACAACTACTACAAACATATTTCTTGTGTATACAACACATGAATGTCTACGAGGAGAGACTGTCTATAAGTGTACAGTGGCATCTATATATTCAATTTAATTCAATTCAATTTTATTTGTATAGCGCCAATTCATAACAGAAGTTATCTCAGGACACTTTTCAAATAGAGCAGGCCTGGACCGAACTCTTTATAACATTATTTACAGAGACCCAACAGTACCACCATGAGCAAGCACTTGGCGACAAGGGCAAGGAAAAACTGCCTTTTAAGAGGCAGAAACCTAGGACAGATCCTTCGGCTCTAGGTGGGTGGTCATCTGTCTCGAACCATTTGGGGTGAGAGAGAGAAAGAGAGACAGACAGACAGACAGACAGACAGACAGACAGACAGACAGACAGACAGGTGCACAGCAACAACAGTATTGGTAATGGCATCTAGCAGGACCATGGCAGGAGGCTCCACCAGGATAGATAAGAACCTGCGAGACGAGAAAGCACAAGAACTCCGGGGAAGAAGTGAAGTTAGTAACATGCATTAATGGGACATGAACGAGTGCAGAAAGAGAGAGGAAGAGAGGAGCTCAGTGCACCATGGGAAATCCCCCGATAGTCTAGGCCTATAGCAGCATAGCTAAGGGATGGTTCAGGACTCACCTGATCCAGCCCTAACTATAAGCTTTATCAAAGAGGAATGTCTTAAGCCTATAAACTGTCAATAGATGGCAAGCAAACAATGTGGCCATGGTAGAAAAAACGCAGAGACACTTGTTGGATGACACATGCTGCATAGCACTGTGTAGAGAAGCATTTAACAAACACTCCATTGTGGATCTATTATCTATTGCCATTCACTGTATCATTCATTATAAGATTGCCCAAAAGAGAATGCCCTGCATTGCCTGGTAAAGAGCCTCTGTATGAGGCAGCTATAACGTTGACATAATACTGATCAAATTGACACTATATGAATTTATCTTGTTTAAGGCATTGAAGCTGTGGTAACCGTTTCTCCCTTCTGTTGAACTCTAACTAGAACAACCTCAAACTAGGTTGATCCAGTGAAATGCAGGTGACGGTTTCAAAATTTCCAGCAGACCAAAGCAGATTATACGGACAGCTTGAGCTCCTCCATAAAACAGATTAACACAGAGTGATTACTTCTGGCGTGCTCACTCCGTAACACCTTAATCTCTCCGGAATGACGGGTCATTGTAGAAAGCAGAGGTAAGCGGAAGCTGCTATAGTGGTTCATTTAATCTGTTGTTTCTGTGTTTTTCTCTGATCCAAGTCTTTCACAGGTGGCTGGCTTGAAGATTTGAATCCATGTGGGACAGGGACAGCACACCAAGAAGAGGATGGATCGTGCAACTAAAGAAATCTGTAAATTTTACTTCTATTTTTGTTTATTTACAAAATATCTCTATTCATATTAGTAGTTAACTTTACCTGAACTCTGGTAAGTTTTCACAGTATATAGTAGTTTTGCTTCAAATAGCTTTAATGCTAAACAAAGATTTTTTTTAAATGTAAAGTTGTGTTAGGGGAGAATATTTTGTGTTCAGTATCTTAATGTAAATTTACATATCTTTCACGAGGTTGAGTTGATGCTAGTTAACGTTTTTTTTTTACCCCTCTTGAGACCTATTTCCATGTGATGCTGTGATGTTTCGAGGGTAGGTCTGGAATTCCGCTAGTTCTGAACTATTCGTGTTTGGTAAAAGTTCACTACTAGCAGAACTCGGATTTGCTCCCGACTACCAACAGGAATCTCCATTACAACCATGACCACGGGACCAGTGGTTTATACACTCGCCAGTTGAATAGCAGGTTGTCTACTTGTCTAGTGACTATTAATGATTACACTGGTGTGAAGTGAACAGAGTCCACCTTTGCTACTAGTATGGTCTTGTGTTCACTTCACATCAGGTAATAATCCTAGTCTCAGATTTGCTTGCCTTTGTTGTTGAGGATGTTTTAATAACCAGAATATTATTGTTTCCCCTTTCCCCAGCAACACAGATTACCCATGATGGCCTAAAGCCAAGAGGAAATGGTTTCACTGGTATTTCCAAGTGTTGATTTTACTGATTTCCATCCTTTCTCAGCAGCATGACACACAGAAAACATATAACCACATGGTTAATTTTAATATTCAATTGTTGAAACAATTGTTGTTCCAGCATAGCTTCATATGTTCAGATTTATTGTATGAATTGTATGTGTGTCTTTAAGCCCTTTCCATGATGCACATACAGGTAACAGCTGGTACAGTGCAGAGGACGTATTTTCTGTGACATGGTTTTGACGGCTATTTTTCACATAAATAGGTGAGTGTAAACTGTGCGTTTCAGACTAAGATCACCCCTCTTCCCCTTTATTGTGTAGGGGATTGCCTTTTTGCCATTTTTTTTCTTTAACAGCACAGGGAGCATCTATGCCAAGGTGAATCCTATTTAGCTAACCCTCTTAAGCTTATCATGTTAAAGTATTTAAAAACAACAGTTACAAGTGCATGTAACTACTTTATAGGACAAGTGTGTAAGAGTTAGTGGCAAAGTGCTCATTCTTAATGAATAATAAGTCTTGTTTACAGGTAATTATAGATTAATGAAAACATTGTATTCCATTTCTGCCAATATATCCCCCTAAGTCTTACATACTGGTCCTTTAAATTGTGATTGATTATGATAACGATGCATTTTATTGCTGTAGTAATTATTGTCATGTTGGGAATTGGTCCCAAATTGAAAATTATTCTTGTTTGCATTGTATGCAAAGATGTGTGTATTCGTCTGCCAAGTAATCCTTTAAACTCTCTACGGTAAAGCAGTAAAGTCTCTGCTTGGTGAGTAAACGAGTGAATCACACACCTGCTGGAGGTAAAAAAGGCTGACAGACTGGATTTAATCTGAGTCTGGCTGTGTGTTTCCATCAGACAGCTGACCTCAAGTCCAAAATAATGACATATATATAAAAAATAAAATAATATATTATGAGAAACTACACCCCTTGGCAGTTTTGTTAAGTGACTTCCTCAGCTGTACTGTTACAGTATGTACACATGGTAACTGATGTGAATAAGACTTGTTTATTTTGAAGTATGGTGCCATCTGTAGGCTGAATTTAAGACTACTCTACCACAATGTATTTTGAATATATTTGAATTAAAGATGCTGAATAATGGTGACTACTCCAGGTGGACAGATGGGCTTCAAATAGGCGAGAGGAGCAGATGCACACTCTCATAATGGAATTTTGTTTAACCATATACAGTATATATAAATTGATGGTTAGATAAAGACCTGCTATGAGTGTTTGCTTGGTGCAATGTAGCCAACAGTGTGTTAATGATCTCATCACTTATCTCCATCAAACCTGGTGTTGTCAAGCCTGAAAGAGGACATTTACAAAATTGTTTTTGTATACTAACACCCACAAATGGTAAAATATTTTGTATATTATGTTTTCCTCATGTACTTGGATGTGATGCTGTTACTTGTCTTCAAAATAAATGTTACCACATATTTTCTTAGCATAGTAGCTCACTGCTGATTTTCTGAAACATATGGACTTTCAAAATATCCACATTGAGCTGGGGGGAAATTTAGCTGTTTCAGGGCTTTATTGAACACTTCATTGAGCCACTAACTCTGATTCAGTGACCACACCAGCAGACACAAAACACAATTAACCTTTATTTTTTTTTACATTTTTCTTTGCATACAACTCTTTATCTGTAAGTATCATTCAAAATGTTATATCATTTGACCATTCAGTGCTATTTACAATATGTAAGTCATCAGAATTACCCTTAAACAACCTAAGAAGGTCCGACTTTCGAGACTTCAGTGACCTGGCTTGCTGAGGACTCATCATCATCTCCACTCATCCCCAGCATCGTCTTTAGACATGACCGGAACTGGAAGGGAAAAACAACATAGGCACATTAGTTATGCCTGTGATTATTGTCCATATAATCCAAATAAATAAAGACTAAAGAAAATTAAGAACTTAAAAAGTTTTAATTACATTTCAGATTTCCCCCCTGAGGATGCCGTATTGTATGTTTTGAAAGCCGCCATTAGAGGGCAGCACCGGCCTTGGGATAAATTCTAAAGGAAATGTGTTGCTCTTAAATCAGGGTGAATGAACAAACCTGTTTATTAAGGAAGATGTAGATAATAGGGTTGTAGACAGTGGAGGCTTTAGACAGACAGGAGGGTATTGTCGCCAGTCTTAGGTCGAACGGTTGCCCACGATTGTTGATAACCCAAAGAGCAAAAGAGGCGTAAGGCATCCAGCACACCAGGAAGCCCAGCACCATGACGACCACCATCCTGGTCACCTCCCTCTCTGCCTTCTGGGTGGAGGCAGACTCAGCTTGGGCCTTTGCTGCCTGTTCATGGAAAATGACGTATGTGTGTTATAGTCTGGACACACACTCATATATATGAAATCAGGTAGGATGTTATTCCTATCTGCCCAAACCCAGCAGATACATTGCCTACCGATTTCAGCATGAGAAGCAGCTGTGAGTAGCAGAAAACAATGGTAGTTAAAGGGACAGCAAAGCAGAAGCAGAAGAGGAACATCACATAGGACTCATTGTTGAACTTGTTGTTAGATGTGTACCAGTCCGGTCCACAGGAGCACTGCATGCCCTCTGGGATATACCTGTAGAGACAGACACTGAATCAGTACTGTACTGTGGTTGTGAGTCTGTATATTTTGAATTAGGGGCAGGGGATATTATCCTTACAAGAGCAAGACAGAGAAATATTTGTACAGTCAGTTGCAGAAGGACTTTCCTGAGAATAATTGGATTTATATATCAACTATTAAAAACTAATAAAACTGTTGTGTGTTTGGTTTTTATATACTGACCTACTCCATCCAACCAGTGGAGGAACTGCTGCTATCAAACCAAAGACCCAAGTCATTGCGCAGCAAGCTATAGCATGGTTCGGCTTGAAGGCAAAGTTCCCAAGTGGCTTGCAGACAACAAGCCATCTCTCCAACGCTACCACAGCCAGAGACCACAGGCTTACCATACCTGGAACAAGATTGAAAACTATAAAAGACTCGTGCAATATAATGCTAATCAGTGAGGGAACTCTAGTCAGTATATTTGTAATAGAAGCTAAAACATTATAAAGCGAGGATGGTAAATATCAGATTACAGGTATTATTAGAAATGCTTCTGGGTAGCTCGCAGTCCACTCTGCCAGACTCCAGCTGCAGTTGTTTTTGTGGTGTTTGGCTAAAATTATTTTCAGCAGAGTCTTTAATGATTTATTGTGCTGTCACATTTTCATTGAATGAATTGAAATGAAAAGACTGCACAGTTTTCGACATTAAATTGAAACCATAATGGAGTACCTTGGTTTGGTTATAAATTTAGACAAAGGGATAGTCAGCTTCATTAGCCTCTAAAAGGTCATCAATTTAGCAGAGTCAGTGATGCTTTAAGATTGATGGAAAATTTTGTATTTCAGCATAACTGCAGATGTTTGTACAAGAGGAGACACTGATGAGTGTTTTTTCTTTGGTAAAGATCTAAAAAACATATTATGTATAATATCATATAAGAAAACTAGCAATTTAATATCATGATGCTGATGGCTGGACCCCACAGTTGTCCATAATACATTGTTTTCTCATTAGACGATGTGACAGCATGTTATTTAAAGCTGTTCTGTCAGCACAGGGATCCCAGTTCAGAGCTTGCAGTTTTATGGTAATGGTACAATCACAACATGCATAAGAATAAATAAGTTTTAAAAGGTTTGCTTTCATGGTAATCTACTGAATTAATAATATATTCACTTACAATAATATAATAATATACATAGTAAAATGTATTTTATTTATTACACTACTTACCGCCAAGGGTTGCTGAAAATCCTTCAATCTTGCACCCCAGTGGACCAACAATCATGTATCTGAAGGCAAAGCAGAAGAAGCAGGTGAAGGAGCCCACAGAGGCAACGATGAGGTTTGCCACAGCCAAGTTCACCAGGATGTAGTTCAGATGAGACCGGAGCTTCTTGTATTGAACAGTACATGCAATAGTCAGGATATTAATGCTGGTACCGGCCACGAATAGGAAAAACATAAAGGCAGACATTGAATAAAAGAATGCTGGGCTCCCTAAGTGATCCTGGGGAACCAGGAACGGGCTGAGGGAGGTGATGTTGTTGGTGTCCAGAGGGATGGGAATCCAGAAGTCTTCTGGAAGCTCTGTTGCACGACTTCCCCTCATTTTTGTCTGGTTGAGTGTCAAAAAAATTTTCCAGCACTTTTCAAAAAGATGCTGAAATGGTATTATTCCACAAAAACGTCCGATAGTAGATTTCTAAATGTAAATAACATGCACTTGTTATTGTCTTCTAATCGAGGTTTGTCTCTCTCTCATAGAACTTTACATCAGCTTTTATAGCAACTTACTTAACATTACTCAGGTTCAACTTAATTGGCTTAAATGGGATTTACAGTAAAGCTTTGGTTCAGACCAGACTTACTTGTACGTGCACACGCATCACACACTCAATATACAACAACAAAATAACAACATGCGTGACCTTTGAGCTAATATAGAGATTAGCATCTCAGTACTAGAGCTGAAAAGGATCATCTTATTACATCCCAATGTAAGAGCCCTGTGTTTGTGAACCACATAATCTGAGCATCACTTATCTTCAGGAGGTCAGTCGCATGCATTTGGCTCTCAGTAGTCCAGGTTGTAGAAGTTCACCTCAAGCTTTGTGTTATCTCTTGTCTCTTGGAACATTACCAATATTTTCAAAGAAATTGCTTCCCTTGTCTTTAGAGAAATCCTAATCTTTTAAGAGGATATTAATACATTTGACAGTGTGAGTAAAGTGACATACGTATAAAACTGCCTGACATGGTGGTTAGAAAGAGAAACTTAAGGTTGTCAGTTAAACCAGAAACCAAATAATGTGACGAGCAAAATCTAAACAAACACTTATGAGAGCTTTGTGGGTTTATCTATTACAGATGTTTCCAAAGAAATGGGCTGATTTAATGAAATGTGAAACTGTGTGTTTGCAAAGATCCATGAAACTAGATTTTCTAATATTTTGGTTACAATCAGTGGATTGCTTTTTAAACATTAAAAGTAAGGGAAAAAAAGTCACGTCATCTCATTGCATAACTTTGAATTTCTCAGGAAACAATGTCTTACTTTTACAACTTCTTGTGTGATCATCTCTTGCACGTTACAGTTAATTTGTTCACTTCCATTTAAGAAATAGGGCTGTCATGATATCAGATTTTCACTACACGATTATCATGGCCAAAAGAATTCATGAGAACAATATTGTCACACTATATAAAGAAAATTAGAACATAAAAATGCTATGTTTTGTCCCTTTTGGGCCAAATGAATTACATTCAAAATATGAGGGAGTTGCAGAGAGAGTCTGTAACCATACTAAAAGAACAATAACACTGAGTGTTAACCACAAAGCGAGAACGGGAAAAAATGATATTATCATATGTGTATTATTAATATGATATCAATATTGAATTTTGTGTGTGTTTAAATACCAGTATAACGCAACACCCCTATAAGGAAACTGTATATAGTCCAGACCAGGGAATTTGTTGTTAGGCAGTATCAGACACCATATTCATGTTTGTATTCTTCTCTTTATTTTTTACTTTGCCGATTATTTATGATTTCTTACTTGAGTTCCAATAATTCATACCATAAAGATTTCTTCATATGACAAAACACATGCACATTTATTGTTATTTACAATTCACAATCATTAGTGGTCAGCAAGTGTTGATGTTCGGTCTAAGCAGGTCCAACTTTGGAGACTTCAGTTGTTGACTGTGTTGTTGAGGATTCCTCTTCATCTCCACTCATCCCAATCATCCCAATCATGCATGAACGGAACTGAAAGGGGAAAAAAAACGATTGTCGAAGGAGTCAAAATGTACACTGATTCTGAAGAGCACTCCAACCACATTTATCTTTATCATCCTGCATGGAGCTGAGATTTAAAAAAAAAAGCTGAATGTACCATTAAAGCCACTAGGTGTAGAACTTTAAATTTTACTTAAGTAAAAAAGTTAGAAATCAGAATTTTTTTTAGATTCAAGTCAAAATTATAACTTTTTCTTCAGAAGTCTCACTTCAAACTCAGAATTCTTGGTTTTCAATGTTTCAATTTTCTACAAGCATAGATTTGTGAAATCTAAGTAGCCTATTTCTACATGTAGTGGAATAAATTAATGATTTAATGTTCACATTTTGAATGTGATATAAAATTGTTGCAGTAGTGAGATATACTCAAATCAATACAAGACGTCATTGACTCAAAGCCTCAATTATTTTTCCAAGTTACTGTATGGTTTGCTAAAAGCTAAGCTGAGGAAACATTAAGATGCAACATAAAATACACCTCAGATTGATCTGTCTGGCTTGAGACATGTAAGATACAAGTCCATAAGATAATAAGATAGTATTATGTTGGGGTTTTGTATCAGTTTCTCTCAGGTGTCCCACATAGCACCTTGCAACAATATAAAAAATGCATAATTTTTAAAATAAGCTGTTCATTCCAACATTTAACAGACCTGTTTATTGAAGAGAACATAGATAATTGGGTTGTAGACTGCAGAGGCCTTTGAGAAGCAGCTAGATATGGTTGCCAGTCTAAGGTTGAATGATGAGCATGAACACAGGTTAATCCCTCTTTCTTAGGGAAAAGTGCAGCAGGTCTTTGCCTGCTAATCTGGTTTCCAATAAAATTAAGTCCGGTAATCTCATGCACTGTAGCCCTTTGTAATCCACTCAACTGGCTTAACTCCAGCTTTCTGTTACCTTTTGGCATTTCACCTCCTTCCCTGAGCTAAAAGACAATTAAGAACAAAGTACAGTAACTCTATCATTCCAACAACCCAATGTAGGACATCATACATCAGTATGTCCGAGGAGGCAGGTGATAGATATTGCAGAGGCAAAGGATAGGTTTGAAATTAACAAATAAAAATGTTTGCATTAAATTGCTAAGGAACATTAAAAGCAACGTAATCATATAAAATAACAATATTAATCTGGAACTGTTAAACACTTCGATCTGAGACAAGGTCATACTCAATATACAGATAAATATTACACAAATTATCAGTAGTCTGTGCAGCATTGTTGAGAAAAAAGAACACAGAAATAAAAGCATGGATTTTGTGAGAGTTTGACAACACAGCTCTCAACAGTCTCTTACATGTTGCAGTGAATATGTTCTGTACAACAAACCAGTGAACACATGCTTTTCCAGTATCAACAGCATACAGATACCATACACATGTTTGTATTTTTTTTTTTTAACTTCGCAGATAATTTAGGATTTCTTTATTAACCTCTTACCATGTATTTAAAATTACCTAAAAACACCTAAGAACAACATACCCAAAGTAAATTAAAAGCTGTTCTTCAACCATGTGCAGTATATGCATGGTTTTGGTCTCATTTAAAAGATAACACTCTAAAAAACAGCTGTTCATGGACATTTATCTATGTGCTCATGTAGATGGACAATAAATATTACTGGAGTGGATATATTGGACCTTTGGCAATGAAGCAGGACTGTTTTTGTTGGATTATTACTGATTCCAGGATTACAACTAGGCTTCTTGGGTGAGTTGGCTCAACTGTATGATTGCTTGCTTGCTAGTTTGAAGCGCCAATTGTGCCTGCTGTTATGATTGTATCCCAAAAGCATTTTGATCAATAAATAGACGAGATTCTAAGCTTTCCAATGATATGGTATGGGTACTAAATCCAACATGGCGGAATGTAAACATGGCAAGAAGGTTAATTGAGTTGCAACAATGCCCACATATTTTTTTTATATGACAAAACACACGTACATGTTTTGTTATTTACAATTCATAAATCATTGGTGGTGGAGAAGCCAACAGACTTCATGTGCAGTCTAAGCAGCCCCAACTTTGGAGACTTCAGTCACTGACTGTGTCGACTCTTCATCATCACCTCCACTCATCCCCAGCATCTTCATCATGCATGACTGGAACTGGAAGACGTCAAAGGAAAAACTCATTTTGAAATACAGCTTCAAAAAAGTGTTATTTTTGCTAAAAAGCTAAATTACTGGCATTTTGGCAATTTGTTGGTAGTCTTCTATTTCTAATCAGCAACTCTGCATTTCCTTAACAATTAACCATGAGCTGTTTATAGCAATGTGTATGTAGCATAAGTTGCTTTTTTATTGCACTCATGTATGTTGCAACAAGAAGGCATATTTGTTTAAGTTTTCTTTGAGTTAAAGTACAAGCCAAATTAAAGCTGCAAGTAGTGTTGGGCGGGACCTCGCACTCCATGCAACTCGGGGTGTGCTGCGGATGCGTCACGTGCCGTTGTTACATGTGCGGACCACAACATGAACATTTAACGTAAATCAGCTCAGAATCGCCACGCAGCGCTTACTTTCGGTTGCCATTAGGTGGGACTATCACTATATCTAAATATTGTCATGTAGACGTGTTATCAAACACGTTTCATTGAGATTGGACCACGTACGCTGAAGTTATGAGGACGTGTTCAGGGCGAGACTTGTTACAGAATATATGAAGTTTATTGGAGATTGGACATTGCACAATGAAGTTATGAGTACTGTTTTATGATGAATCGGCTGAATTCGACAAGTCGTCACTGGCACGCGGTTTGACGTACAGTCACAAATGGCTAAACTTTTCATCTGGTTTGTATGAGCACGGAATTCAAAATGGCCAACTTTGATGGAAAGCCATGGACACACCCTTAAACGTACAGTCACAAATAGCACAATTTTAATCAGCAATGTTTTTTGACTGCACTGACCAATTTTGAAGAAGATCCAATGAATTCCCTAGTAGGAGTTCAAATACAAGGCGAAAAGTTCGCCAGGAAAATCAAAATGGCGGACTTCCCGTGGGGTTTCGGGTATGGGTCCAAGAGGCTTTTTTGTACATCTCGGCATGTTACACGTGCCTACCAAGTTTCATACATATCGGTGAAACGTGGCGCCGGGGCTGCTTTTTTTTAATCCTGTAGGGTGCGCTACAAACATGACAAACACTATTTTTGGTATGTGAGCTTAAGGCACCAGTCTATACGTGCCCTGTCAATTTCATATTCATAACTATTACAGTCTCCGCACAATGATATACCATGCCACCAGAGCGCCACCTAGTGGCGGATTGTTGACACATTTATTAGCGAGCTTCAGGGAGCCATGGGCAAGCATCGTACAAAGTTTTGTTTACATCAAACGTGCCGATTCGGAGATATAAACTTCTTCATTTTAAAGAGCGCCACCTTGTGGCGATGGCCTGAAATTGTGCACGATGCCTAAGAAAGACATGGGGAACTATGGACCCAAGCTTGGTGTCAATTGGACATACCAATGTGGAGAAATGGTCCACTTCCTTTTTTGACAAAAAATCTACAGTTAGTGCTAATTTTATAGCGTTCTTATTTTTTGAAATATCAAAATTCTTCAAATTACTTTTTTTGCCAGGACGGCCCCCAGATGCTACGTGAAAGAATTTGTGCGAATCAGACAAAGCACATAGGACGAACACGAGGAAAAGTAGTTTATTGACATTTCGTACTCTAGCGGGATTTTTTTTTGACGGAAGTGGGCGTGGCCTATATGGGGAGATGCAGCTCCATTCACTGAACGTGTGGTTATAAGGTTTTTGAATGTGCGACAAACGATTCGGGAGTTATTAGCCTAAACGCACTTTTCATGATATTAGCGCCACCTAGTGGCCAACCCAAAAGCGATGCAGCGGTCGCTGGCTCAGTCCCTAATAATAGGAACAACCATAAACTGCACTTCCCGAGTGCAGCGTAACTGCCTCCAAAACATGAAGCTGTCTTCTTGCATGTACACTGTGCCTGCCCATAACTCTAATGTGTTTTCAATCTGACAATACGTCCGACAGACCTGTTTATTGAGGACAACATAGATGACTGGGTTGTAGACTGCAGAGGACTTAGAAAAGACAGCCGGTGCAGTAGCATATCTCAGGTCAAAGGGCTCTCCACGATTGTTGACAACCCAAAGGGCAAAAGTGGCGTAAGGCAACCAGCACACCAGGAAACCCAGCACAATGACGACCACCATCCTGGTCACCTCCTTCTCTGCCTTCTGGGTGGAGGCAGACTCAGCTTGGGCCTTTGCTGCCTGTTGAGTGAGAGAAGTGATTTGAGTCTCATGACTTCTGGGTTTTGCATGTTTAGTGCTCCATGCACCAAAGCATCACACAAAAGTTAAAATTGTGTTTATGCTGACCTTTCAGTGCATATTATCAACCATCAATCTGTGTTTCTTTTTGAGCTGCATTACACAATCACAACAAGTAAATGTCTAAATATGTGTTCTTCTCTTAGCTTCACGAATTTCAGTGTAATGACTTACTTAATCTTGAGAGAACTTTTTTAATGTCACATTTAAACATTCTGTATTTTCAAAACCTTTTTCAGTGAAACAGAGTTACTACATTTTACAATATGTAATCTAAGGTGAGTTGGTTTGCCTCACCATTTTCAGTGTAATGAGGAGATGGGAGTAGCAGAAGATAATGGTGGCTAAGGGAACAGCAAAGCAGAAGCCGAAAAGGAACATCACATAGGATTCATTATTGTATTTGTTGTTTGTAGTGTACCAGTCCGGACCACAGGAGCACTGCAGGCCTTCGGGGATATACCTGGAGAGATAATCACAAGAGCACTGTGTGTGTACTGTGTACAGCGTACATAGCAGCCTTGCTGATCAGTGCAACTGTTAGAGTATGTGAGTAATACTAACCTGCTCCATCCGAACAGTGGAGGAGCTGAGGCCAACAGTGCAAACACCCAGGTGAATGCACAGCAAGCTAAAGCATGATCAGGCTTGAAAATAAAGTTACCAAGTGGCTTGCAGATCATCAGCCATCTTTCAAAAGCTATCACAGCTAGAGACCACAGACTTACCATACCTTGAATGATATAAAGTAGTATTCAAATTTTTTTTTTTCATTAAAACTCAATCCAATCCAATCCAACTTTATTTGTTAAGCACTTTAAAAACAACCAAAGTTGACCAAAGTGCTGTACAGGAGAATACATATGACATATATCTGTTTGTCTTACCACCAAGCGTAACCATAAAACCTTCGATCTTGCATGATAGTGGTCCAAAGATGAAATATCTGGATATAAAGTTGCAGCAGGAGGTGAAGGATCCCACAACAGACACAAGAAGGTTTGCCACAGCCAAATTCACCAGGATGTAGTTGAGGTGGGACCGTAGCTTCTTGTATTGGACGGTGCATGCAATGGTGAGGACGTTAATGGTAGTGCCCACAGTAAATATAAAAAGCATGTATACTGCCATTGAATAGTAGGTGCTGGCGCCTGCTAGATGGTCCTGTGGTACTAGGAAGGGGCTGAGAGCCGTGATGTTGTCCGTATCCAGAGCGATGGGGATCCAGAAATCCTCTGGAAGTTCCATATTACGGCTGTGCTTCATTTTGACTTGTATGTAAAAAAAAAAAAAAAAGGAAAAAAAGAAAAGTCAAAATTTGCTTTTCATGTGATGGTCAGTTAGATCAGATATTTCCTGCAGGTACACTTGTCTACAGCAGTCTATTAGATAGGACTAGGAGAACATTTGCAAGGCTGTCTGACTGAACATTTATTTAATTGAATGATTGGTTAATTAATTACTTAATTTACTCAGGAACAATTACCCCCTTACTTCATTCAAAGGGATTAGAAAGCTACAGGAAGCATTGCAACATCTACAAAGACACACAGGCCAGATATGCATATGGTTATCCTGTTATCCCGTAACTATTTTAAGTTAAAAAAGGAAAAAACCCACAATGATGCACAGCAAAATGGGCACACGAATACAAACACACTAATGCTAGATGTACTGACATAAACATATATGTACCCATGATACACATTAATAATAAAATGTAAAATTTAAAAAATAAAATTTAAATTTAGTACCTGGTTCAATTACATCCTATTCAGATCCTAATCACATTCAACATTCAATCTGTCCCTGGGTAACCTGTTTTGTTAGTATTAGGAGGGATAAGCTCTACCTTCGTTATCGTATCAGGATGAAGAAAGGATTACCAAATGTTGAGCTTGGATCTCGGTACAAAGCAGAGCCTTTCCCTTTTTTATAAAAAGTAGACATTGGAGGAGATTCTTTTCTTTGAGGTAAACTTCTATGTATAACTTTTAGAATATTCTGTTAACATCTGCTTAACGTTATGTGAAGTGGAGGGTTGGACACAAACATACAATATGTTAAGTGTTGGTTTCTCCAGTACCACCTAAAGGACAATGTAAGCCAAATACCTAAATCAGGTAAAGACAGGTAATTGCTCCTTTATTTTGAAGGAAGGTAGTAATAAAGGACTGACAGAGGAAGGTGCAGAGCAGATGCATTCTGCTCTAATGGACTTCACTATAAAATAAAAAAATAGACCTGTAAATAAACAATATATTTTAGTTTGTGTGTTGTGTTAGGCATGATTATCATTGTTATTCATGGTCTTAACCATCATTACTCTTAGTATTATTGTAGTATGTTATGTAGGCTCATGGTCTGACTTGTGAGCAGGGTCACAGGGTCGTGGGAGCCAAGATAGTGCAGTAAGGAGAGGTTTAAAGCACCCTGGTTTGATCATTTTGTTACAACTGAAAAAGAATCGACCATCAGTATGAAAAATATTTTACATTATTGTTTAAATCTGTCAGCAGGTGAATGGGTCTTTGCTTATGATGCCATCTCAAACAGCTTGAGGACACAAGCAATTAGGATAATTGGCAATTAGAGACTATGAACAGTAGGCTTACAAGAGCAGTAGGATGGGAGTCATAAACACTGGCATTCAGTGTATGTGGTTTACACCCCTGTAATGTTCTTCTAACATAGTCACAATGCCAGAAACACAGCAAACAGCACATGTAGCCTCAACAATGATATTAGTCACCACAACAAATGGCTTATAGTTTCAGTGCAAATACAGCATTGGCAGGAAATAAAATCCATTAACCTATACCTTTTGAGACAGGTGCTCAATCAGCAGCCACAAGTGGAACAGAACCAGCTGATTGTTGCTGTTCAAGTGGTGTGTTCACAAGACTCTGGATACGATGTTAGGACCACTGAATAATAATGACTCAGTTGCTTAGCCTTCTGATTTGTGTGCTTTCATTTGTAACAAATCTGTGACCCATATAACATTTGACTATATAGTAAAAAAAAAACAGGTTCTTGAATCCAAATAATCTGACTGATGTGATAACACTATATAGCACAAGAAAGTGTTCTTTAAAAAAGGCTAACACACTGATTTTGGTGTGATTCTTATGGTGGATGAAAACCTACATCCACCTCTTCCCAAAAAAAACTCCTGTAACCATAATCCTTGATCCATGCAACTTGTGAGGCTTTACATCATGATCTCTTTAGGCTTTCAAAGATCAGTCCTCCAGCCATTTCCTAAGACTCTTAGCGAGTGTAAACCATTGCTGGCAGCTCAGATTAGAATGGAAGGTCAGTGTTTGTTGGAGCTCCACTGACCTATTTAACTCGCTGTTGTGCTCGCTCATGTCCTTGATTCAAATCCCTATAGCTTTGGTATAAGACAGGGGAGCTGCATTACTGAAAATTAAAACAAATAATTGTAGATTTCTTGCTTTTGTGGCCCAAACTTATTCAAATCACCATAGAAAGCTAAGTGGAAATGGCTGAAAATGAAATTTAAATGATGATGGCTATAGCATTTGTTTGATTATCGGCCTAAAAATTATTTAGAGTAAAAGGTTTTAACTGCATAGACTGCTCACTGTTAAAATTATGCATTATTTTTATGGAAGTTCAGATATTTCTACTACTTTGTTGTGTAGACATATTCAACTTAGGTTACCTTTCATGGAATTTTTCATCCACTTATCCAATCACTAACTTAATGACGTGACAATGAGTGTCCAATCTGTTTCCTGCAGCACACATGACTGTTTTTGCTTTTCTTGAATTTTTAAGTTAAACAAAATCACAAAACTCACATTATATCAATCAACTCGATTTGAGGTGACACCTAATTAGAAAAAAACAGCTGTATGTTGCATGGTGGAAACACTGAAACTCGATTAAAGCCTGAAATAAATGTTCATGTCTGAACTGTTGTAACAAAGTCGATTGTTGATTGTTTATTTTATGTCTTGTTGACTGTTGATTGTTTATTTTATGTCTTGTTGATTGTTTATTTCTATTTATATTGCCTGTTTGCACCGTGGGTCCGAGGGACTGAAATTTCATCTGTGCTGTATGTCGTGCATGTATAGCATATTTGACAAATAAAGCTGACTTGACTTGGGTAGTGGCTCTAAAGTATGTTTGTTTGTCTGTTTCCTGTCATGTCATTTCTGCTGTAAGTGCATTATGTTTCTGGGAAGTATTGATCCAAATATTCGGTTTTAAGAAGTCTTCATGAGTGCTAACACATTTCCTGTCTGATGGTACTGTAGAGTGGAGGCTGCTGCCTTGTGATGTGGCACTCATTCAGTCATTCCATTAGGCTGTGACCTGAGCCGCAGCATTAGTGCTCACCTTGAAGCTGGGCACAGGAGAAATCATGAACAGCACACTGTATGTTAAAAAAGAGAGATGTATAAAACGACATGTTACGTTGTACAATAAAAATCTGCTTCCTCACAAACTAGTTTACATTCTGTTAGTATAAGATAACACAGTGTGCAAAAAGAAAAACAAATGTTTGAGCATTTTCATCTCTGGTTATGTGAGATGGGTGCCAGGAGTGGCTACATAATAAAACTGATTAAATATAAGGTATCTGGTCTTCATTTTTACATTTTCATCTTTCAGTCAATATATATGTTTAGCTATGCTTTGGTATTGTGCTTTCACTGCTTCATGATCCATGTAAAACAACCACATTTAAAGGCCCTGCACACCCATGGTAAACCCACACAGGTGATTGTATTTGACAGGTGATCGGAGCTCTTCTCCGGGCTGCGTGGACATCTACACACTGCGCATGACTGACATCTGTTATTTTGGCTATTAGGACGAGACAAATTATACAGTTGTCACATGGAGTCTGGTGATCTCTGCAAACTGCAACCTCTTCAACCTGAGCAGAGGTTTAATCAGAGAAAATAGGTGAAAACTCCTGTGTGGGTGTGCAGGGCTTTTATGTTCTAATTATGGTTCTTTACTCTGTGACTTGCATATGGAAATTTTCATACAGAGCTTTTCTTTCCATTCCAGCACAACAGTACACTGAATCATTAATGAATATGTAAATATGTACCCAAATGTACCCAAAACCCAATTATTTGCCCTGCTGTATTTGTAAATAACTTATTCATTGCTAGCTGCAGACCATATTCAAAACAAAACAAAGAAAGGCTGTCATCTAATGGACAAATCGTGTATTGCAAAAAAAAAAAAAAAAAAAAAAAAAAAGGGGGGGGGTCAGGTGCTTTGTATTGATTTAAGTGTTCAGGATCACTGTAATAACAGAAGGATATGTGGACTTTGTCTGAGGTCAGGGGGAAAAGTTATTGGACTGAAGAATTTTCCAGTAAAATGCAGAAGGGATGCTGATCCTGGTAATGTGTCAAATGTCAACCCCCATCCCCATACTGTACGACAGTGTCCGTGATATCCCTGCAGCTAAAGTAGTTTGTGTCATTGGTAATCATAATTACGAAACAAACAGTTCAGTTTGAATGCTGACAAAAACACACACTGATCTAGTTCCACACACCAAATTAGATAGAGAAGTTCAATAATCTCCCAAAACTTCAACATTGTAGAGCATGGTCTCGTCCAGCAGAGAAATGTGGGTGAGTATTTTTGAAAAAGAAGGGAGACGGGTCTTGTCGATGTTGACGGTAGAGTAATGCAGTCGTGTGTGTGTGTGTTGTGTGTGTGTGTGTGTGTGTGTGTGTGTGTGTCAGTGGAGGGCGCACTGATGGTGGGTGTGGGCGTGGCAACTTTTATATGTGTGAGCGCTAAATCTGTAAATTAGTGCTTGCACACTATTATTGTGCGTGTACGGACATATATAAGTAGGTTTATGGCGGAATAAAATCAGCACCACCTACAATATTAAAATAAAAGTTGTTCCAGCACGGATGTCGCCATCTTTACTAAGGGACAATAAGCCTAGCGCTATAACACAACTTGCTGTAATTGGCTAAAACTCCTTCTGTGTTTCATTCATACAGATTTCAAGTGTTATTTGAAGCACCTCACTATACAGAGCATTATTGTCCTCTTCAGAGTGGCAAACTACAAAAACTTTGTATGCCTTTCTGTCTGTAATGGTTAGCGAACGGGGCTCTGCCGCCATGTTTACTTTGGGTGACGCCAACTCTCTTCCATTTTCCTCCGCCTCTGGTTGTCAAGAAGATGGCAGCTTCCAGGCAGGCATGAGAGGAAATACTTCTTCACAAATCGAATGAATTTGGATTATTGCCGCAAGATCAGACCACATACCAGTGTATTTGCAATTACTGCATCGAAATAAGTAAGTACAAATGTGAAATGATTTCGTCTTCTTCGGTTTGTTATGTTTTGTTGTGGCAGACCGCCCGGCCATTTTTCTTGAGGGAGCT